ACGCTAGAGCCTAAATAACACGGCGGGGAATCCCCGCGGAGGTGACCAGAGTCGCAGGGTCGCATTGTGACCAGACTAGAGTTGAGAATGAGTGCTTCACTACACATTGAATTTATATGAACACCTCATAAGTGAAATCAGTAGCGGAGTGGTAAAACGGTTTAAGTCGACTCACCTCCCAGTTGAGTTTTTCAGCAATATTTCCGAATCTAAGGGATCTATCGAAATTTTCCTAATCACGTTTGTTGCAGCTCTCAATTAGCTCTATGAAAAAGGTTTTAACAAAAATTTTGCTATCTCCCTTGGATTCCGAGATATTCATTGAAAAATGGCCAATAGTCAAAATTGACTTGAACCGATTTACCACTTCGCTACAGATTTCACTTCTCGTTATAACGAGAAGAAAAGCTCATTTACAGCAAAACTTGTACATGTTAATACGTAAAAGTTCGTAGTATGTTTTTTTTCGCTGTAGAAAAATTTGTACACATTTGTTCATAAAAATTTAGCAGATTTTTTTTCCGAGTTTTCTCTTTTTTTCGTGTTAGACGTACAGGATTTATTAAGAGTTGTATTCGTGCAATAACACCCTAAATAGAGTAAAGAATAATAAAATAATAATATTAGCTAATTATCGTCAGATTTGAGTTAGGATTTGCTTCGTGGAGCTGGGGGTCTTATTTCAATTACGCGGAATGTTGAAGACCTGTCAATGGGGGGCGATTTATTAATATTCGATGGGGATAACAGTTTCGAACGTTGACCGTTTGTTAAATTACTTCCGTAACTTATGCTGCACGCGATATGCACTTGAGGAAAATTGTGACATTTTTTGAGATGATTTTTTTAGAGCGCGAGGAACTGGGTTTATGTGTACGTGATTGTCAACGAATTGTCGATGGGAAAAAATTGAGGGAACTGTTAGATTCACATATGGAGTCAATTCACTCAATTTAACAATGCAAAACACTCGCGTGACACATTCATAAAACTACCTTCATAAATTCTACGTGCCTTCCTTCTTGCTGTGTACGAATATGGAAGAGCAGATATACCACTTCGTCATATATTCCAAATTTAACGGTACAAAAACCCATAGCAAATCACGACGATTGTTTCGAGTTGTTTTTTATGTATTCGACCATTAGGATACAACTGGTATTTAGGAGATGTGTTATTGTGGTGGACTCATTCGGGAATGATGTACGTCATGTGGGTAGAAAGTTTTTCGGGTGATCCCTGGGTGAGACCAGGTAGATACTCTCGATGATTCACGGCGATCCCCGGGTCAAGGCCCGAAAAAGGTTTAGTGAGTAAGCAGGGTACTAGGTAAATGACACAGTTGACGTTGATGCTGAGTTAGAAAGGCGTTTCAATCAATTGCAAACGAATAAACAAAAAAATTAATTGCGGGGTTTTCTGGAATGCTTCAATTTTCTTGGGATGATTTACTTCGACTTTTACTCGGGGTTTACTGCGGGGATAATGAAATATTCATTCGAGTGTTCGTGGGGGTTCTCACGTCAGCGAAGGAGGATGATTTGGGATGAGGATGTGGAGACGGTTAATTAAACTTTTAATTGCAACCGCAGACGTTCAAGGAGATTGGCGAAAATTTTATTCAGGTGAAGTGAGTTTCGACCCTGGATACGTCGCTTTCAACGGGCAGTTTCTTCTGGCTGTAAATTGCCGGCTCGGATAATTCGAGTTTTCTTCCGGAGAAAAATTATGGAGTTATAAAAATTCATATGCTTGAGGATATTTTCAAGTTAATTCGGGGGGAGATTAACTTAAGGTCATAATTCTCGGATCGTTAAAATAAAATGAAAAACAAGTGGGAAATTGCGGTCGTCGCAAAATAGTCAATATAAATTTGATGAGGCAAAATCAATTGGAATCGACATTTTTGCGGCTTTTTAACGTATCCTATTATAGATGAAAATTCGCTCAATAAGTCCCTACACGGACAAAAAAATTTAATAGAAAAACTTATCGAATTCGTTAGACAATTCTATTGAATTTCTATTGAACTGTTGTATTAGTTTTTGGCCGATTTTATTGAAATGTTCAATAGAAAATATTCAGTAGAAAAAGTCAATAGAATTCAATTTTTCTATGTAACTTATTCTATTGAGATTTTTTTCTATAGAATTTCCTCGGCTCAAATTTTCCAAGTTTTTTCGTTTGATTTTCTTGATGAGAAGAAGAGAAAAATAGAATGAAAAAAAAACTTAGAAAATTTGAGTCGAGCAAATTCTATAGAAAATATTTGAAAAGAATAAGTTATATAGAAAAATCGAATTCTGTTGACTTTTTCTATTGAATTTTTTCTATTGAACATGTCAATAGCATCAGCCAAAAACTAATAGAAAGTTTAATAGAAATTCAATAGAATTTTCTAACGAATTCGATAGGTTTTTCTATTACATTTTTTCGTGCCTGTAGTTCTAACGAGAACTTGAATTTGACCACGGTCTCCCCTGAAGGAAATTGTAATCCTCATGTTCTAATTACCCGATTTACATATTGATTTCTACTAAATTGTAATATACCATCCCAATTATACCTAGTGCCATCTGAATTCCACACTGTACATTTAAAATTTGTAAATGATTAATTTATGATGTGCAATTCGGCATGTATAATTCAAGCTGCATTGGCATGACTTTTCGAATTGCAGACAGAAAAAGGAACATTCACCAGTTTAAATTGTTCAATGTAGAATTCAGATCACAATCGAGAAAATTTTACAGAAAAATCTAACCCATTCACTACAAAATTCTATTGGATTGCTATTGGAGTTCTTGGAAATTATAATATAAATTATATTAGTTCTTAGCCGATTCTATTGAAAAATTCCGCATCTTTTCTACGCGTTCCTTCTAATAGAAAGTAGTCAATAAGAACTATTTTATAGGCGAAAAGACCACTGTAATTTTCCTCTCTAAAACCAATTCTAGAATCAAAGGGAAAAATCGAGTTCGGGGGAAGCTATAACCCCCGTTTGGCCTATGCCTCGCGTGTTAGAAGCCCGAATTTCAGTATTTATTATCTCCTAAACTGTGTACACGTATAAAAAAATTCAATAAAAAACCTCAGCGTATTTCCTAAAAATTTTTATTGAAATTCTATTTTTTTTTGCGCAAATTCTTTGATATATTTGATAGGAAAAAGTTAATTCATTTCGATTTTGCTGTTTGACATTTTCTCTTCAGATTTTTTCTATTAACATTATTGGGCACGGATTTTCTCAGTTTTTTCCGCTATATTTTATTTTGTTGTGCATTACAGTTGTTGTGCATTATTTGATTTTTCTGTATGAAATTTAGTAATTTTTTTCTAATACAAAGAACAATTCTTTCCCTTCGTGACGAGCCTGAGCTCAATTGATGAATTTGTTTCTGAGTTGTGAATAATTTAAAAAAAGTCTAAAGTGTCCATTTTACCCCACCCTCCCCTATATCATGAACTGTTCAAGGGATCCTAAGGCCCAGTGAACACTAAAATTTCTCCCCTTAATCACATTAGTTATTATTTATTATAATTAAAAATAATTTAAATTCATTATTTTATTTATTATTTATTATATTCATTATAATGTAAATTTATCCCCTTAATGCAAATAATCCAAGGGGTAAAAAATGAAAGAATTAAATTTTTTCATTTGATAATTCTTCCGAGACAATGCTACGCAGATGTTAACAACTTATTTCCCTCGAACAATTTTCAAATTCCAGATGGCAGAATCTCCCGGCTCACCCCGATATTCAGATCCGATCAATTAGCCCCTCATGTATAGATATTCCAAATTTTTATTTTTTTCCTCATTGAAGTAGTTTTGAAGATAATTGCGACCTAATTAAAAACATTTGCTAGTTAGTACTTTTTTTAAAATAAATTTTTGAAAAATCACTCCTGACAAAAAGGCGTTAACCCCTCTATTTCATTATTTCCAAAAAAATTTATCACCAATCGGTAGCAAATTGTTTGAAGATTTTTGCGAGTTAAGAAAAAATCGTCAATGCACTCCTATTATTGTGCAAATCAACAATTCCAATTTCAACTGAAAACCAGAGTTGATTACCAGAGTTTGTAGCAGAGCTGTCAGACAAGATATGAATGTTTTTTTGGCTCAAATGAAAGAGCGGGTCGAGAAATGGCGTGCAGAAGTCTTTAAAGATGACAAATCTCTCTAAAGATGATGTCTGTTTTCAATTGAAAAGCGCAATTGTGACAACATTTTCCAGTGGGTTCTAGGAGTCTCCCCTGGTTCAACACCATCTTTAGAGGTCCTAGCACGCCATTTCTCGACCCGCTCTTTCATTTGAGCCCAAAAAAACATTCATATCTTGTCTGACATCTCTGTTACAAACTCTGGTCATCAACTCTGGTTTTCAGTTGAAATTGGAATTGTTAATTTACACAATAATAGGATTGCATTGACGATTTTTTCTTAACTCACAAAAATCTTCAAACAATTTGCTATCGATTGGTCATAAAATTTTTGGGAAATAATGAAATAGAGGGGATCACGCCTTTTTTTTCAGAGGTGATTTTTCAAAAAGTTATTTTAAAAAAAGTACTAACTAGCAAATATTTTTTATTAGCTCGCAATTATCTTCAAAACTACTTCAATGAGGAAAAAAATAAAAATTTGGAATATCTATACATGAGGGGCTAATTGATCGGATCTCGATGGGTGCCCCAAGTAGCAAACCTTGCGAAAGATATCTGAAAGTATACCAAAAAGGCAGACTAATGTCCGTCCAAAAGGTATCTTGCAGTCATACGATAACTTTTAGTCAACTTCTAGGTAACTTCTAGACACAAGTTACCTTTTTGGACAGACATTAGACAGCCTTTTTGGTATACTTGCAGATACCCTCCAGAACTGTGCTGCTTCTCCAAACTTCAGACCTCTCTTACCCCCAAGTGTCTCCCCCTATCGCCCCCACGCACCAACTACCCAACTCCCCGCTCATCCGCCATATTTTTTTCCCACGAATTCCTTCACATCTCACCACTCGTCTATTGGATAAATTGGGCCCTAGGTTGCCCTAGGTTGCCCTATGCGGTAGGTGCAGATAGGTGCGTGTTCTGCGCTGTCGTGTGCAGACCCTATCGTAACGCGTGAATAATATATATTTTTTAACAACCCAAGTACCGCCGGTTATGCATAAACGAATATCAAGAAACGTTACCCCAGCGCGCGTGAATGATTATCGCAGTAGAGAAGTACAATAAAAAAATACGCGAGTGATTGTCGGCGGTGAGGAGGGAAATAAAAATCGAATCTTCACTACAAGTGTACAATGGCCAAAAGAAGTTACAACAACTCGGCCGGAAGGCGGGCCCACGGAGGGAAGCCCTACGACCCCAACAACGTGAGTTCAATCAATCATTCGTCACTCTCCAATCGCCAAAAAATCCCAGTGCCAAGAGCCCCCGAATCCCCAACATTTTCCCTGAAATAACGGGTACTGAACCGCTCAATTCGCCCTGAGACACGTCCCTCGCCCCTCAAAACCCACCAGCCGCCTCCAACCTCCAACAATCACCCTAAACTCCTCATCCTCCATCAGCTCGTGATTCATTTTCACCTGTGAACAAAGGCTTCTCCGTTGCGTCTAATTACGAAATATTTGACGTGAGTTTCACATACATAACTACACATATCTACATGTTAACATAACTAGCATTATACCACCCGGACGTGTCAGATCGCGCCAATCCCAGGTTGGGTTATCCCTTATTTCAATTTTCAACATTTAACGGGTCACATTCTGCCCACCTAACCTCAAAGCCATCATGCGGCACGCTCAACTGCGCCACTGAATCCATATCCCAGCCGCCCAACCCCCTATCATTCCCCCCTGGAGTGTCAAATCCCCAACGAAGAGAAATAAATCGGCCCTTTCCCTCTTATTCGCAGTCCTTCGTGAAGAAAATGGCCACAAAAATGACGGACTTCATACCCCAGCGTTTATGGATCAGCAAGTGGTTCAATTCCCCCACGAGCAACGGTGACTTATCCAACGAGGACACTGAAAGTCCAGACGATGTGGGTGAAACAATGCTCCAACCCCCAGCCAAACGTCCCCGAATCAGAATGGACGTGACACATCCCCCAGGAACCTTTGCAATCCAGCCAAGAGCAAGAAATTTAAAGGATCAATATCATCGTGATGAAACTGTAGATTTTTTAGACTCAGAGACAGCTGGGCCGAGTGGCTCACGTTCATTCGTCTCCTCCACGCCAGCTTTCTCCATGAAAATGATGAACTCAAATTTACTGCAATCAGATTTAATCCGACAGCAGCAGAACAACGGTACTGCAAATGGAATAGATGAGAATTCCGAGTCTGGGGAGAGCACCAGTGGCTGTAGCTCCCTGATACCCCAGGCGTCTCGTCAGGATAGTCTCAATCAATTTCATCGAAAGGGACTAGTGGACGACAAGCTATCGTACACGAATCACTTGCAATCCCCTCGATCCCTGTTCATAGAGAGTATCTCAGGTCAGAGGGAGTCCTTGAGCTCCAGAAGACCCAGTTTCAACGTCTCCATGGTCAATAACGAGGGACACCCCTTGGAGAGAGGTGGCAACGTGATGTCATCCCCATTCTACAGTGGTAATATCACATTCGGTGGTGCTAATGCTGCTGGCACAAGTGCAATGAGGCAAAATCGTAGGATCTTGGCAGGGACCAGTGAATTCCAGCTGAGGGTCCCCAGAAGATCATCAGTCCAGGTGAAACCGTCGAATGCAACGGGCGTTGACTCATCAGGTATGAGCCAAACAGCCAAGAGAATTCTGGAGGCACTGGAGCACTTCTCCTCCCCCATATCAGACGCCAAAAAAATACCAGTCAAGACACCAGGGCTCAACTCTACCCTAGCTAGAAAGCGAGGTCGAGACGAGGCTTTTGATCAACCCCCAACGTCCAGAGTGGGATTGAGACACTTAACCAGGGAACTTGCTGTGCCCACAGTGCCAGACATGCTCAAGTTGAAGAGAAGACAGAGATTACAGGACACAACACTTGCTGCTAGGAGAATTATCACAGCTCACAGTGAGCCACCTCCACAAACCCCAACTTCTTCAGCGAGTCAAGAGCCTTCCGAGTACCATTTGAGGTGTGAAAGTGAGAGTCAGAAGTTCTTTGGTAAGCTCAGGGCAACGGGCAAGAAGAAACATGACTTCGAGGAGCCACCTGAGGTTGTTAATCTGCCAAGTATATCGTTGCCAATTACCAGTCTACCCAGCTTTGACATCCCTCTGCCAAAACCCAGCTGTTCAACAACTACTGTCACAGCAACAATAGAATCCAAGTCGTCCTCAACACCCAGCAAGACATTTAAATTCTCGAGTCCTATTAAATTGCAGAATGATAGCACTAGTCCAGTTAAATCAATTAATCACTTCACATTCTCGAAGCCACTGAGCCCGTCTACGAGTGACAGGAGTCTGAAGCAAGGATTGAAGACACCTAGTTCACCTAGTACTCCCACTACTGTTTCAAACTCAATGAACTTTAGTTTTGGATCGAGTCAGGCAGCCCCAGCCACCAATTTCATGTGGTCAGGCTCATCGACAGCTCCAAGACCTAAGCAGATTAAACAGACTGAGAAGAAACAGAAGAAAGACGACGTAGAATTAAAATCTGGGAGTGTCCTGGACGTTCTCAGTACCTTTAAAAAATCATCAGATATTTGGGAATGCAGTGAGTGTTTCATCAAGAATAATCAGAGCGAGGAGCACTGTGCAGCCTGCAAGAAACCCAGGAAAAAGGAGACCTCTGAGAAGCCCTCTTCAGCATCCACGATAATTCTTCCATCACCAGGAGCCTCTGACACTCCATTCGGTGCTCAATTCAAGATGTCGAACGACAAATGGGAGTGCCAATACTGCCTAGTGAGGAATCCAGTCTCCGAGACCAAGTGTGTCTCCTGTATGACACCTAAATCAGAGAAAAAGGCAGAGACCCCGACATTAGCAGCTCCAACACCAATTCTCTTAATTAAATCTGATCTCATGGACAAGTTCAAACCTGCAAAGGACTCCTGGGAGTGTCCTGGGTGCATGCTGAGGAACCCTAGCACCATCATCTCGTGCCCCTGCTGCAACGCCTCGAAGCCCGGTCTTCTGAAGACTCCAGTCCCCAAAAAACCTGAAGAAGTGAAGCCACTAATTCCCACAAATACCAGTAAAACGTGGGAATGCCCTTCGTGCATGGTCAGAAACGACTTGAGTGCAGCCACGTGCGTCTGCTGCACGACTCCAAACCCTCAAGCATCCAGCAAACCTCCAGTGGGATCAACAGCACCAACAATTCCAAGTATATCAGCACCAGCCCCTGGATTTGGTGATAAATTCAAGATGCCTACAGGTTCCTGGTCCTGTGATATTTGTATGATCCAAAATAAATCAGATGTTAATGAATGTGCGGCATGTGGGGCATCGAAACCTGGGGCAACAGCATCTAAATCAAAAGCCAGTGGCGATGCTCTGAAAAACGACTCAGCACCTAAATTCAACTTCGGAATTCCCTCGTCAATAGCTCCAACTTTCAGTTTTGGAATTCCCAGCGATAGTAAATCAGAGGAGAAGCCCAAAACCGATGCTCCAACGAATGGATTCACCTTTGGTGTCCCAGTGACACAATCAAGCCAGTCATTCACCTTTGGAGTACCAAAACCAACTCAGGAGCCTGCGAAGACAGCGAGTTTTACATTCGCAGCCCCCAAGCCTGTGGAGCCTTTCAAATCAGAGGAGAAAAAACCAGAGATCCAGACACTCTTCAACAATATCAGTGACACTAAAGTTGGGTTTAGCTTCAGTAAGCCAGCAGAGACGAAGCCAGAAACTCCAAAGGAGCACAATCCCACTCCAGTCGTGGAAGTGGAGAAGGCAGAGCCTGTGAAATCAATCTCCTTTGGTACACCAATACCAACATTAACGACGGAGAGCCCACAGAGTACTCCAGCAACGACAGCAGCAGCTTCAACCCCAAGTTTATTCACATTCTCGAAGCAGCCTGTGTCGACGACTCAATCAGCCCCAGTCCTCACCTTCGGGCAGTCCACAGCGCCAATGGGGCAGACGATAACCCCGAGTATATCACAGGAGGCTCCAAAGACATCTGAAACTTCTGAATCAGTCAGCAAGCCAGTCCTCACGTTTGGAAAGTCAGAGTCTACACCTGCACTCTTTGGTGACACTACCACTGAGAACAAGCCACTCCTCACATTTGGAGCACCAGTGATCAATAACTCTGAGAAACCTGCATTCCCTGTGGAGAAAAAATTCCCCAGCTTCGGTACGATTGAGCAGAATCCTCGTGGCTTCTTTGGAAATGGTGGGGAGAAGCCCATGGCCAGTGCTCCAGCACCAGCTTTTGGGGTTCCTTCAGTGGCTAGCACAACGGCAGCTGCAACACCAGCCACACCAGCTCTGTTATTTGGATCTTCTTCTAATTCAGGGTCAATGTTTGGTAATGCTACACCGAATTTTGGAGCTCCCAGTTCAGCCAGTGCTCCCATGTTTGCTTCTCCAAAGCCAGCAGAACCTGCGCCTCCAGCTACTCCAGGGCTTTTTACGTTTGGGGCGCCTTCTGGGGCACAAACGACTCCTCAAGCCAGTGGAGGGTTCAATTTCGCTGGGAATAATGGGGCCAAACCTGTTTTCGGGTTTTCTGGGAGTCAAAGCACGCCACAACCTGCGGCTGGTGGGTTCGGAGGGTTTGGGGGGCCAACACCTGGCATTACTGCTGCACCAACTCCAGCCTTTGGGTTCAGTGCACCTAAGAATGAGGCGACGCTGTCCTTTGGACAGACTCCAAGCACTCCTGCTTCGAGTATATTTGGGAATAGCCAGCCATCGCCTGCTAGCTCCTTTGGGACCTTGAACTCGGGGGCCATCAGCTCTGGGAGCAGTGGAGGGTTCAACTTTGGACCTTCTGCTGCACCACCATCGGCTACTCCTAGTATTCCCTCTTCTGCGTCTACTTCCGGAGGATTTAATTTCTCAGCTGCGGCGTCTGGATTTAGTTTCAATGCTCCTTCTCAACCGTCCTTCAATTTCACTGGGGGCAATGCACCACCTACTTTCAAGTAAGTTCGAGGGTTTTTTTTTTATTTTTTGGGGTTTTAAAAACAGCATACATGGGGAACAGGCGATGTGTGCAGACGGATTCGTAGATTATTTAGGAAATATTGTCGATGAGAGGAAGGTTAGGGGAAGCCTGCAAGAGAGATTTTCTGTAGAAAATTCTATGAGAGCACAGAAGAGATCTCTCGACATTTTCCTCTAACATTATTGATTTCAGAGATATTTATAAAATGTGTTGTTGAATGAATCTCGATGTGGAAATTTTACATAATTTTTGGTAAACTTCCATTTGTTTTGGAATTAGGTATTTTAGGAAAAATCGTCACTAGGCATTTTCGTAGCTAAATGATTTTTCAACCGATTGGGTCTCTTGAAATTTTTACTTCAAGAGAGTATTTTTTTTATTAGTCATAGTTATTTTGACTAATAAATGAGCAGTTATCGTGGGACAATCCATTTTCAAAAATGGAATGTCCCATTTTCATTCATTACCCTGAGAAAAAATATTTTTTCCAAATATTCATTTACTTCAGAAAAGTATTTATTTTTTTTAAATGGAATTTCTCCAATGGAATCATTCCCAGATGAGCCTTATTAGGTTCCAATTATGACAATCATATTGCACTAGAGGATGACTATAGTGTACATGACCTTGGATGAACTCCTTCAATAATCATTCATTCTTTCTAAATTACTTATTTTCTAGAAGGAAGAATTTTGATTAATTTTTCAATATTGATAATTATTGAGGAAGTTCATGCACCGTCATAACTAACATGATCATCTCCTAGAGCAATATAATTCTCATAATTGAAGCCTAATGAGGATTGTCTGAGAATGACTCGACAGGAGAAATATGGTATTGACAAAATAAATACTTCTGTCAAGTAAATGGATATTTGGCAAGAATAGTCTTTTTTTCTCAGCGTAGCCAACAATTGAAGAAAAACTTTGTTACATGCGTACACTCATGCACACACGTACGGACGAGGTCTAAAAGTTGAATTTTAAGACTTTGGATCATGCTGGGTCAATACAACACAAAAAATCCACAACTTAAATTTGCACGACTACAAAGCTTCCATTCGGAAGCAAAAAAATAGACAAAGTACTTGGATATCCTTAATATTTTGAGGGTTACACAAAAGTAAAATAATTCTACTCATCATTGTACTTGGCAATATTTGGAAAATCCATCAAAAGCATCCATTCTCTCCTATTACAAATTAACACGTCACGTTTCGACTTCTTTAGTCTTCACAATTCTCAGTTGAAGAATATTGAGACAAAATCAAAAATTATGTTGTTCCATTCCGAATAACATTTTCAATCAAATGATTTCCCCTCTCCCAATTGCTTTCAATCCTCACAAATTATTAATCAATCATTGTTCATCATTTTCAGCGCAACACCTCAAGCTACAACTCCAACAACCAGGAAGATAAAGAAAGCTGTCCGCCGTATGCCCCCGCGTGCGTGAGTTTCACCACTGGATAAACCAACACGTTGCTTCTAATTCGGTGACCAAATGAACAAAATATACGTACAGTAACTAATTGACGGTGAGTCAAATCCAAAAACTGAAATGAAAGAGTGAGAGAAATAAATGAATCATGAATCGTGGAGGGTTTGATTAAATAGTGAAAATGAATAGCCAATTACTGGCATCAGGCATTTGTGTAGTCGATAGCTTCATGCTGAGTGTAACATTATGCTTGAAGAGGATCCACCTGTACCACGAGAAAATGATCGAGTAAATTATAGAATAAACGAGAGGAATTTCAAAAGGGAAAGTGAAAGAATTAAAAGTAATTGAGACTGGGACTTGACGAAGACGATGACTGACAATGTTAGAGTTAGACAACGGCGTTTATTAGGGTTCAATCAGTGAACGATTGATGAAAAAAATGGAGAGACAACAGTGGCAACTGTTTTCGAACGCCGGCGATTTTATAGACTTTGCCAAGATGGTGAATATAAAAAAAATACGAAGAAAAAAAAGTAAAAAATATGAATGAGGAATTATAAAATTGCGGGTATGCTTGAGTGTCAAGCGTTCTGATACCCAGCTCAGGTAAGTATATAGGCCATTCGCAACGCCACTCTCAACAATTATATTCCCTTCCCCCCATCCCCTGTATTTAATTGTAAAAATTATTTCACATTTTTTTTATTAGATACCCACTGTCGGTTGCGTTATTTAATGAAAAATAGCGAAAAATCATTTGATTTTATGTGATTAAATAAATAATGAGATTTTTTAAAAATCCATCAAATATGTACCCGACAGAGAGCATTATTTTGTTAATTGTTTTTAAAATGGAAATAAATTGTTGCGGGATGACGTTGCGCTGCTAATTTGCATATGGTGGTCTCGAGTCCACTATAGAAGAGACAGTAATTCAGTTATACACTAATATTATATTTTAGTTAGGTATCTCACTCACTCGAGGACAGTCTCACGTGATTAATTATGTTAAAAATGATGAATAAAATTGAATTAAATAGCCGTGACACTGTGCCTTGCAGTTGATGAGAATAAAGGATTAAGATTTAAAAAAAATTGATTAACTGAAGGAGAATGAAAAAAAGTAAGCAAAATAAAAGAGGGATATGTAACATAAATTTACGAAAATGGCATTCGGATAGTACAAAGAGACACGATTTCACCCAATCGTTTCCATTGAGTAGATGAAATTTTATATTTTTTTTATAATATAAAGAAAATGTGAAGAAAATCGATGAAGATAATCCTATTGATAAGTGAAGAAAACAAAACACATGAACTGAATGCCATTTTTGTGTTTAGAATTTAATAAAAGAATAAATAAAATGAATAACAATGTTGAGTGTTTTACCGTAGGAACCAGGTGTATGAATATTATTAATTGAGTAAATACAGAAACAAAAATGAACAGAGAAATCACATTTTCATTGTGTAATGTAAAATAATAGTTTAAAGAATGAAAAAATTATGAGAAACACAAAACTACAGAAACGGTCTTCGAATATGTATTTTTCAGTTTATCTTTCTGATTTTGTCTTTACACGTTCAACTGTAATATTTTCACACGATAGTTTATTTTTTTTTCCATTATCAACTGCGGTTCAAATTCAAGATTATCCAGAAAAAGCAACAACAAAAACTGAAGATTCATTCAGACTGCGAAGATAATAAAAAGTGAAAAATGAAACATTGTTATTGTAAAAAAAAAGAAAAGACCATCATCTGTCTACTTTGTCTTCTAGCAAAAAGTGAAAAGGAAGAAGAAAAATCCTCTTAAATAATAAATAAGAATGTAAAAGTCAATAAACGAGTTCTTTTTTTTCTTGAAAGGATATTACTCGATTTTTATCATTATTTCTTTCATTTATTTCTTAACAACTAAAAAATAACAACATCAATCTAGACGAAAAGTTTCCTTTTTAATTTATTAGCTATTCTTCTTTTGCTCGTGTTTTATTTTCTTTTTTTCTTTTTTCCTTTCTACACCGTTTGTTTCACAAATGGCAATTGGAGCAAAGCCCTACATTCACGAAAAAAATTAATAACTTAGGAAGAAAATCGGTGGCTGCAAGTCGATTTTTTAAATTTATTTATCATCTTTACGTAATTCTTTTTTTCCACGTTTCATCCATAGCAAATACAAAATGGTGTAAATAAATAATTAAATGTGATGATTGTTTCATTTTGTTCATTTGTGTTTTTTCTTCATCGTTCTTTCTTTTAGACCGAGAGTGGCACGAAATTTTTTTATTGAGTTTTACAACAAAAAAAACTTTTCAACTAGTTAAAATGCCGCATCTTAAAGACTTCTTTTTTTTCTTTGTCAAGGATATGAAACATTGACACGTACAACATAGGTAATAATACAAAGACAATTGTGGACAATTCAGATATACAATTCAGTCCAAGTTTTTTTCCCTTTTTGCTTTTTTTTCCTCGTCAATCATTAGTGTGGTGCCGATGAGGCTCGGCCCAAAATTGATTCATTTTTCTACAATATTTTTTTTTCTTTTTAATCGGTTGGATAGGCCTCGTGTGCTTCCCAGAGAGGTGCAATATAAACAGAAAAAATGCTACTAAACAATGCTCCTCCATCCAAAAAAATAGTCAACTAAATTCACAATATTATATTAGTAATTAATTAAAAAATAAAATAGAATAAAAAGTATGAAAAAATGGGAGTTTTGTGATGACAATGATAAAAAGGATTAAACAAATTTGATGTTTACAAAAAAAAATTGATCAAATACCATTGATCACACTCACTGATTCAACATTAAAGCAGTGAAGCATCAGCCCCATCCTCTCTGGGCAGCGCAGTCATCATTCGCTAGATTTTTTTTTACTTTTTTCCATTTTTTTTCATATCACTTCTATTTAAATGATATTATAATTTAGGTACAATCTTAATTACTTCAATATTAATGAGAATATTAATTATGTTTTATTCTTGTTTTCTGTTTTCCTTTTTTTTCCTCTTGCTTGCAATGAATTTAATTAGATTCGTAGGTAATTAATATTATTCAATTATTATTAATTATTAATATTTTTTTTTCTTCTTTATAAAGTCCCTTAAACTAAGAATCGTCAGACATGAAGGAATTTTGGGATTTCAGCTCCTCCAGCGTTTGTATTTGTTGACGGAGAAATAATATCCTGTAAAGAAAATGAATGCAACACAGGATATGAATCCGATGGGAAATGAAAAATTACGGGGTTGTGAGTACTCACTGTACTGAGAGTACTTTTTCAGGTATTTACCTTTGTTCCTGCAGGGTCGCTTGAATTTCGGTCAGCCTCACTATCGATCGTGCAGTCTTTAGTTCCGCGGAGACCCGGGTACACTGTAAACTGCCCATTGTGTGTGCTTCTTCACTAAGTTTTTGCGCCTAATCAAACAGAATCATTCGTTTATTAGTTAATTACCTTGAACATCTTAAAACCTCAACTGAAGTCATTATCTAACAATCGGTGGTGATACTAAAATTAAGTGACCATGACAGATGTAAATTATAAATTTTTATAATATTGGGGCCTTTTGGGGTTTATACCAGCTGCGTCCTCGTAAAAACGCCTGGTAAAATGCAGGTAGGGTTCCATATTCAAGTAGTATAAAAATAACTTGAATTTTGAAGATTAACATCTGAAGCAAATTCTAAACGAACGTTAGGGATTACCAAGTATCTTTTACAATTTAATGCGACCACACTATAGATTCAATCATCAAATTTTTCTCATGTGTGTTTTTAGCTTTATTTAAAATCCATTTTGCACAGAATTATTATTATTTTAAACATTCGTTGTTTATAAATTATTTATAGCAAATGCTCGTAACTTTTCAAAATTGCGATTTTTTAATTTCATCAATCTTCCTCCAAAAGTAAACTCAATTTTTTTTCAGATTTTTAAAATGTTTTCTAACGGTCCAATATCGAGATTCAAATTTAGACCTGTAAAGTTTAACTAATAAAATCATTGTAAAATGTATGGAAAATTGGGGTCAAATGGAGTTAGAACAGCGTCTTACGAGGAAATGAACTTCTTGAGGTTAGGGGAAATATTAAAAACTAGAAATAAATCTCGAAAAATCAGGAAAAACAAAAATTCTATGTCCAATATGAAAACTACCGTCAGCGTCGAACTTTTCTAACAAATAATTTATGTTTCTGCGTACCCGAAATGACATCAGGTCGAAACACCTTAGTGAACCGAGAGACTAGTGTTTAAAAAAATAATTGAGGAAAGAATTTATTGATTCAATTTCTTATACTTATCAAAGTTGGAATTAATGGGAAAAAATGTCAATCAATATCAAAATACTCAACTGGAGTTTATTCATACTACTCTAATGCCTTAGCAATGGCTTTCCAATTCAATTTTAAATACCTTATTATTTTACTTTTTGAAAATCTGACGTCACACTAAATCTAGCTAATGATAATATAACTAGGGATTCGGAGATAGGTCCGCGGTTTCATAATGATAAGATGTTTACTCGATTGCCAAACACATAATCAATATATTCAAATGGAAATGAGTAATTGAAAATACGACAAATGCGACAAAATGAAATTTAAATCTCGCTAATTGACATTATGACATGAGAAAAATTGACGTCACATGACGGTTATTTTTTTCCGACATTACGGATTTCAAAACGTGACGTCATTCTGCATCGCTGATCAAAAACTCACAATGAAATTGAATTCGCTTATGTAGTCCATGAATTACTACCAACTTCATTACCAAATTCCATCAAACTCACTTGTTTTTCTAGTATATCAGCAGGAAAAGCGCGAACATGTTGCGTCAAGTCTTCCCTGTAGTGATTAGCGAGGGATGGTGTTAATGAAGGCGTCAGAGGTGGTTGGACTCTCGACAGAGCTTGAAGACCTCCACCGCTGCCAAGACTGCTAAGAGTACCAAATGAACTGATTCCCTGGAGCGAGCAAAGCCCCTGAACGCTGGAATTTGCTCCTCCGGGACTAGCCACTGTTCACCAAAACCAACAATTGAATAATTAATACAACAATGAGAAGCGTTAACACCTCTCGAAGGATGAAAAATACAAAATCATCACGAAAATCTTACGCTTTCTGGCATCAATGCAATCCTGAGTCTCTGAGTGAGTTGGTGTGGGTGGGCCCTCATTGGCCACATTACCACTAGTATCAACTTTCAAGGGTGCCATCACATCGCTACTACTACCAGCACGCTCATTTCCCCCTGATTGCTGTAATAAAATCACCAGGGGCATCATTTTTAAATGCTCATCACGACTCCCAAAGTACTCTAATCCATTATTTCTAATGACTCTTGGCTTAAGAGATAGATTACTGTGATTAAGAGAGTGGTTTTCATATCGTTTTACGAAGCTCTTTAGCTCATATACGAGGATTACCCGATGAAATTACAGACCATGATCCTAAATGGCTCAATTATGAAGGGTGTCCATGTGCTGAAAATCGTTTGAATTAACAAAAATTCAGTGCAACAATTTTGGCAACCTTAAATAAACTAATGCTTCGTTTATCGGAATCTTATGGGGTTTATTTTTAAATTGATAAATTATCCACTAGAAGAGTCCAATGTAGAAAAATATATGGAATCCAATGGCTAAAAAAACATCTGGGGTAGTCAGGAAAATGATGCGGATATTTGAAACATGAAAAACCCAATAACGTCATGCTACTGCCTCTATTTGTTATATATTATCCATTTTATTGCTGAAAGATCAACTTGAACTGGTTGATTAAAATTTTAATGAACATGGAGAAAAAGTTCCTGAAGACAAGTCGTCAATTTGTCTTATATTCACTGGTACTTATCAAAAAAATTGATCTCAAATTCTCACATTCGTTTCGTTAAAAATTCAGTACCGAAACGATAAAAGGGTTTAAGTCGACTTGACTCCCAGCTGAATTTTTAAAGAATATCTCGGAATCTAAGAGGGATAGCGAAATCTTCGTAATTACCCTTTTCGTAGGTTTTAATTTGCTGTACAAAAAAGGTTATAACAAAAATTTTGTTATCTGCCTTAGATTCCGAGACATTCATTGAAAACTGATCAATAGTTAAAGTCGACTTGAGGATATCCAAGTATCTCTTAGAGACGTGGAAGTGGTTCTTAGAGACCACACTGTAGATTCAACCCCATTTTCAATCATCAAATTTATCTATTAAATCACATGAGAAAATTTTTGTAAAAATCATGAATGTTCAAGGTCATTGAAGTTAGATTTTGCACAAAATTCTTATTTTTTAAAACATTCTTTATTGACAAATTCAGATCTGCAAAGTTTAAATAATAAAATCATTGTAAAATGCCCGGAAATTCAGGGTCAAATGGGCTTCAATAAAAGCATTTCGCTGGAGAAAAAATAGCCAAAATAGAAAAGTAATTGGATATTTGCACTCACCTGTCGAGACAATAAAATAGCGGTTTGAATAGTTTGCAGTGCTCTCTGCGGTGTAATATCCGTCTGCTCCTTACTTCCAGTAATTTGGGATAAAAGCCTAGGTAAACTGGCAAGTGTTACCGGTGGTCCAGGTCCAGCATTAGTATTAGCCGATTGTTGTGTACCAGATTGCTGTGGTGATGTTGCCAATTTTCCTGGTGTCTGTGGTGTTGATGGTGGATGAGATGCTAATCGAGGTAACGCTGTTGCAAGGAGTACAGGTCCCTGTGGCAGTGTGTCATGACCACTCGAATTGAGTGGCTCAGACGTTGGTGTTGAATCACCAGGCGATATATCCATATCCTGTGCCTGTCTCTCAATACCAATATCGAGTTCCCTCGTTGTATCTCTACAATCTCTATCTCTATCCCTATCACGTTCACGCAATTCTCTGTCCCGTTCACGATCACGCATTTCACGATCACGTATCTCACGCTCACGCTCTCTATCACGTAATTCACGTTCTTTTTCACGCTCACGTGTTGCTATTTCGTCTTTACTCGAGCTGCTACCACTACTGCAACTACCACCACCATTATTACCACCACCTGGTCCACTACCACTACACGATGCCCAGTATTCACGTTTATCCGATTGTCGAATTGATGATTTACTGTCGCGTACATTGCTACTGCTGTTTGATCGCGAGTTGGAATGTTTATCGTGACCTAATAAACAAGTATCATTTGTCATTTG